AATTTTACTCGTACTCAACCAACTTTTACCCTAATTTTACTAACTCGTACATCTACCAACTCGGACTCTTACCATCTCTGACTCGTACCAGCTCGGACTTTTACCAACTCGTACTCAATATTATATTATTCAAACTCATTAACGTTTTTATATTAGATACGAAAAACAATACAATAAAGTACAATTTTATTAGTTGATCATATTATCTTATCTGACTTGATTTGTTTTCAAAGCAGACATTTCAAAATGCAATCATTCGTCTTTAGAAGTTAGTGCTTGTATGAAGTTGTTTGAAGGATAATTTCTTTCATATACATGTTGAATAATCATCATTGTACAAAATTCTAATTATAGTAATTTTACGTCAATGGCGGATGAGGGGATGTTTCGGGGTTTGACAACTACAATGAATTAGTGCTTTTGTATGAGGACATACAGTAGGAATGCCCCCTTTTTATATGACTTAAATGTGTTGGTACCTTCTTATGACTGGGTCCGCTCCTGATTAGTGGATAATAGAATAATCGAAAAACTTCATGAACGCATACATTTATGCAAAGGCAAAAATCAGTAAAAAATTCAAATCTTTGATGTTATATGGATCTTTGTTTTATTGGTAGTTGCGTTGTTCCTGTGTACAAAACGATTTTTCTAGTTAGTTTATATACGAAGGTCTAAAGAAACTGTTTGAAGCGATCAAGCCAGTACAGAAATGAAGCATATCCTTATGATCATTTACCCAATGGGTTATCTCGGGTTAGAGAAACATTGCAATGCCTTTTTTTCTTCTTAGTCAGAATGAGGACGTTAAATTCGATTCTTCCTGAGGGGAACCACTCTCGTTTAAAACCATAGTAACAACTCTGTGACGGGTCTGTACATGGTCTGTTACGAGGATTAAAAGTCCCTATCCCATATCCAAAATCTAAATGGCCCTCTGAGACCTTTGATGACTTTCCGTAACATGTTCATCATCCGCTAGGGTTAAATTACATAATAATTATTATTTTTTCACGGCCTGTTAATTTTTTGAAATTTTCGAGAGATTATACACTTGAAAATTGATGCATAAACACATGTTTGTCAAATATACAGACTTGTCAGTATAATTTGTGACAATCCTCCCTTCGTAAATTTTACGGACGCCATCACGAGTTGGTTGACCGTTATGGAATAACCATTTTATAGATGATATCAGAAACATTCCTTATGTAGTAACTACAACCGCCTTCCCTTTTCATGAATGTGACCTACCGAATTAGACTATTTACCGGATTTGTAATAACTTGAGCAACACGACGGATGCTTAATGTGGAGCGGGATCTGCTTACCCTTCCGGAACACCTGATATGACCCGCAGTTTTTGCTGTGATTCGTGTTGCTTAGTCCTTAGTGTTTTGTGTTGTGCCTGGTGTAATATTATTTGTCTGTTTTTCTGTTTTTCTGTTTTTCTTTTTTAGCCATGACGTTGTCAGTTTATTTTCGATTTATGAGTTTGACTGTCCCTTTGCTATCTTTCGTCCCCCTTTTGTAATGTAGCTCTTTTCCATCATTTACACCAATACGACTAGCCCCTTCACATGACGAAAAGAGGAAATTCCTTCATGTCTACTTTACCTAAAGAGGTATTGATGCAATCAACATCAGCAACGTTCTACATCACAAGAAGTTAACATCTAAAATTCCAATTTATTTTCCAAATCAGTCTGTTCCGATTGTATCCTACAGTTACACTAATACTATTGCACCCGAAGTATTTAACTATAAATAAGCATTGCAGGACCTTGAATTATAACAATGCCTCAAAACCCTCTGGCATGTGACTGTTCCCACTCGCCTTATAATTAGAACACATCTGGACATGTTATTGCTGGGATCTAACCATAATTCAACATGGAAATCTCCGAAATGTGATTTCTCTTGGTCTTCAGTTAAGAGAACCCCAAAACATCAATTGGAACCGTAACTTCAAAATAATTATGGATTTTCCATTGAGGACTACGACAGCATTGGCTAAAATGGACACTTTGTCAGAATGGGTCAAAACAATCAGGTCTCTGATTCAACGTCGCATTCATAAGTTGAAAAACTGTCATCCCTTCATGATGAGAATGTCGTTCATGCGGACATATTTTCAAATAATATTATCTTTATATGGATATCGTACTACTACGAGTGTCTTGTAAAAGAATTAGGAATAAATTATAACTGAGGTATTCAGACATAAAAAAAACATTGACAAGGATGAATCTTAAGTCCTTCATGGCTTAAATGAACATTACATTGAACAACAAATCGGAGGACTCACCATGTTTGTATTGGATAATAAGCTTCATAAAATACAGTACATACAACGATACATTGCCGGCTCATCTGCATGTTCGTCTAAAGAATTGTCCATTAGATTGACAAACATTCTGTATGAAGTTAAAGAGGGTCTTCAGAAATATTGTGAAACTTTTTACTCGCGTAGTGGTATTAACCATATGTGGATTCTAAATAACTCTAAAGAACTTCTGGATAATATTAAATCTCGATCTTTTTTCTCCAATTAGTTTTATCAAAACTTTTGATTTTTCATCCCTGCATACCAACATCCCCCATGTGAAATTAAAAATTGTCTAAAAGAAGTAATTCACAATGCCTTTCAACATAAAAATGGTAGCATACGCTATAAATTTATGACTGTGTGATACCATACGGTATACTTTGTAAATTGTGAACAAAAAGGTAAAACATGCTTCACAGAGGAACAAGTGATCAGTATGCTGGAGTTTCTTATTGACAACATATTTGTTGAATTTGGACGTAGACTTTTTCAACAAATGGGAGCGAACTGTGCGCCTTTTCTTGCCGACCTCTTCTTATTTTTATATGAATCGGAGTTCCTTCAGACATTTGTAAAATACAAAAAGATCAAAGAAGCCAGGTTATCTAATTTAACATTCAGATATATGGATGATGTTCTTTCCATTAATAATCCGAGCTTTTCTGATTGGGTTCCATTAATATATCTCCCAGAACTAGAAATTAATGAAACAACAGACACGGCTTCTTCCGCTTCATTTTTAGACTTATACCCCGAATTTGACTTACACAGTCGTCTCAGTACTAGAATCTATGACAAAAGAGACAATTTCCTCCACCTTAGTAGCAATATACCAACTTCACCTGCATATAATTACATTAATTGTATGTTTCATTATAACACTTTATTTCGATTGGCTAACAGCAATCGCGAGTAATTCTGAAATTAACATTCATTTCAAAATGAATTGTAACATTCATGATGACACACAATTCCACAATAAAGTGCACAAGTATATAAATTAAAGAAAAACTTAGAAATCGTGATTCCATAATAATAGCGAAAAAATGTGGTCATAAGTATTGAATGCTTCTTGACGTAATTTCATAGGGTTGTAAAAGCGTTGACCGTGTGTACATTTTTAGAATGAAGCGATTCTGCGCTTCATACAAAATGTACTTCGCTCAATGCTTTCATATCCCAATGAATTTACAAAAAGAAGCAGTCAAGTCTTGACTTTGTTGATCAACTTCACAAATAATACACGATCGTCTTGAAGTATAGATTCCAGGTACTGACGTTGTTTATCATCTTAATAACGTGTAATAGTATTCTTTTATTTGTCTAAAGTTGAGTCTGTTTTGGGGGCTATCCATTTGACGTGACTCTGTACTTATATATCCCGTCATTGTGTTATTGTGCTATTGTACATTTTTGTATTCTTGTCTTTAATTTTTGTTAATGTGCTTTGCATATATTCCTTGTGCTTCTTTGTTACATATTTGTTTGTGTTATAGTGATTAAGATTATAAATCAATGTTGACTACTGTATCCCTTTTTTTGACATTTTTACCTATTATGTCTGTCTATTTTATTCACACATCGTTGTCAATATAATTGAATTTGATGCGACTGTCATACAAGTGAGAGGTTTAGCTATCTATAAAACCAGGTTTAATTCACCATTTTCTTAAAAGAAAATGCCTGTACCAAGTCAGGAATATGAGAGTTTTCATCAATTCGTATGAGGTATTTTTGCCATTTGATTAGAGTCTTTCTGTTTTCAGTTTTCCTCGGAGTTCATTTTTGTGATTTTACTTTTTATATTGATATTGTTACCCACATGTGTATGTATTGGCACCGTCTTGTAAACTCAGCGACAAAGCTATTGTCATCAGCTTTCAATGTATATCATACAGAAGACCCAGCAGGCACTCAACGTTGAAATAAGGTTAAAATGGTGTTCAACGTATATTCAACGTTGAAACAACGTTATATTTTCAACGTTGGGTAATTAACATTTATTCAACGTTGAAATTGGAACGTTGATTCAACATTGAATAAACGTTGATTTTAAATAAGTATTTATTGTAGATCTATATAAAAAAAAAGATTCATCCAATCAAGGTAGTACATGCATAACGAGGGGGGAGGGGGCGGTGCATACCTTTTGTGTGAAAAATTTGGTTGATTATATAGGGAATCAATGAAGAATGACTTAAGCCCCCCCCCCCCCCTTTTTAGGTCAATCAGCGCCCCCCCCCCCCCCCTCTCCTTACAAAAAGTTCTGGATCCGCCACTGAAAGATAATACCAGAATTACTGCAATTGATTATGGGTGTTTTTTTACCTGTTGCTTACAACGAAGAATACTTTTCTTTACATTGAAATGGCCCTTCAAGGCATCCACTATTAATTTGTGTGTGTGTGTGTGTGTGTGTCTGGGGGTGGAGGTGGGGGGGGGGGGGTTAAAATGTTAGATACAGAATTTCTTTGAAAAAAAAAAGAAAAACCACAGTAATCATATCTCACATGATATTTATGAATAATTTCACATAATGATAACATGTACAGAAATTTGAAATAATGTGATTATTTACAAAAATCTCGAATTTTTCATATTCATATTTTCGCGGTGTTTTAACAGACGGGAAGTTAAGATTACACATGCGCATTCCATCAGCCCACTCTTTTCCTGTTTAAAAGAAAGGAAAAACAGAGGACGAAGTCGACGAGAAACTTGCCGTTATCAAGTATCATTATGGTAAGTAGATGTTTCTTTGTGTCGATAACTGTTTTTCATTGTTTGAATTGTATTAAAAAATGCTGAATAAGTGTCAGTATCGCTCAATCAGAGAAAAATATAACGTCAACAAGAGTGTCCTATCGTAGAACACGTGGAAGGGCCATAGTGAACAATATAATATATAATTTCCACCAATTTTGCTACTTTTAAGAGCTTTTAAGGTTGAATGCATATTTGTTTTGTCTTCAGGTAAAATTAGAGGCATTTACATGCTTGAAGTGTCCGGCAAGAAAAAAGGGGGCTACTAGGTCTCAACCGCTTTACACTAGTAAATCTAAATGGGATTGGGTGTTCCCAACACGTATACTATAGATATGTGTCTTCTTTCAGTTTAAGGCTCGGTTAATTGCACAATTTTGACGATTGTAAACAATAAATTCGTTTGGATAACAATATATTGAACGATCATGAGCAGGAATTTTTAAATGTGATATATTTGTATTATTTTTTCAATTACATTAAATAATACCACAAAACACAATTACTTCACGCTATGGGAAGGCGACTAGAATATTTGTACATTATTCTTTCACCTAATTTACCTTTCTACACAAGTCATTTTATTTTTATAACAACATGTCAGTCTGACCCTTATCTGATCCCCAGTCGCTGGTTGTGTAAATACGAGAAATGATATTAACATAGCATTTGCGCCAAATCAATTGTAGACACTTTAAAATCAATATGACCATACATTAAATAAAAAAAAAACAAAAAGACGACACATCTTACAGTAAATAATAACAACAAAAAGACACACATAACATATTACATACATAAGAAACTTTCATCAATTCGTTTACTAAGAAAAATAACATTTAATTTATCAAATGCTAGGCAGACACAAAATTCAAAAATATGTATTCACTACAAAGACAATATTTATGTGGCGGGTCAAGACAAATAATACAATAAAAAGAATAAGCTGAATTTAAAATAAAGGAGGTAGCCAAGATTGTGATTAGCATAATTGAGGATTTACACAGTGAAAACTATTTTGAAAATATTCATAGACTTCGTATTCATAAAACTTTATCATGTACTCGTCTGAAATGCGCATTTAACCCGCTGAACATTAACTTACAACAGATATCCATAATCTTGAACATGTATTATCTATTTAACAGAAGTTTGTCAAACAAATTAAAGGCTGAAAGGAGTTTTAAGTGAAGCAAAATCAAAATTCATTTTTGGGAATTCCAATCTACATGCATAAAATCAACTAAGGTATGTATTTTAGAAACTTTTTATACCATATTATTTTTATCTAATCTAAAGTGTTCTATTAAAGTTCTGTAGAATATGATATTTTAATTAGGGATTTATTCTTTCAGTGTAAGTATTATTTATTAACACCAGGTGCTGTGCTCATACTTCAATATTTTCTCTACAATCTCATCAGCACCTTTTATAGATATCAATAAATTGTTTCCAGTAAAACCTTCATGGAAATTTTTTGCTAATGCTTAGCTTATTTCTTTATATGCTTGCCATTATCGTTTAGTTTTCGTTGCAATTTGAAGATATCTAGAAACAAATTTAAGATGGCTCAAGTTTAGGATATCTTTTCAGGACATACAATTTATATTTATTATCATCTTATTTTTTCCAGAGATTAAGTATACTGCAAAAGTATAAAGATGTCACTGAGAAAAATATAGCTGATGAAAACGCCCTCTACCTGAAGTCTGCGGCAGAAAAAACTTGGGGTTGTTGAAGAAAGTTGACATGCAAAAAGGAAAAAAGAGACAAAGATATCGAATGAATTTATAAAATAAATCTTGTATCAAAAGAAATATCATTGTATTACCATAGTTAATGTTGTTCTTCGGTAAATGTGTATTCGTGTAATGGATTATACCAATTATAGCCTAGGTGTGAGGGTTATATATATACCATCAAGGGCATTTAGTTTCTTGTGAAGAGTTTTCTGGTTATCAGCGTTATCTTATTTTCATATGTTTATAATCATTCAGTACACTTGTTGGCTCTTATAATGTCTTCGCTATAATTCTTTATATTTGGTCAGGCGCTTAACAAGGACAAATTGTTACTTATGAGAATTGTTTAAAATTCTACATCTTCTTTCTGTTTTGTGATGCTTTCTGTCATGGGATTAAAGTGAGTGTCATAATTTATGCAACCTGTGTAATAAAATTCACTGAATCATTTGTATTTCATAGCTAATCAGAACATGAAAAACTGCAAGTAGTAATAGATAAAATTATGAGGTGTGTCCACTTGTATATCTATAAAGATAATTATTATAGTTATCTTTATACAAGTGGACACACAATCATTTCAGCTATTCCTACTTGTTGTTTTTCTTGGTCTAAATAGCTTAATACACATGATTCAATGAATTTAACAGGAACTCCCAAATATATTGGACAGTACAGTAGATCGCACCAACACCTAACTTACTGAGAAAATAAACACAGAAGCCAACAAAGATGTAAAGATATGACATTCATGGTCTAGAGTATTGAATATGTACAAGCAAGGAATGTTGTATCAGTAACAGTCTATTTATCTGGTTCATTTTTGTCTTGGGGGACAAACCAAGACATAAAAAACATGCAAGTTTCAGCTGGCTATCATCAATAACAACAGCACAAGTTTGGAAAGCAGGTCAAAATATATATTTTATGTACTTTCAACTACTATTCAACCTTGAATCAACGTTGAATGGATGTTGAAACTTCAACGTTGAAGTTTCAACGTTAATTCAAATTTTCAAAATCAAACATAAATTTGACATTGTTTCAACGTTGAGAAACAAAACAACGTTGTTTCAACGTCGAATCAACGTTGAGTGCCTGCTGGGGAGGTAGTTACAACAAATTCCAGTTATAATATAAGTAACTCATTCTTCAGTGAGAAATTTTTTCAATTTCGATCTCTCTATTTGCCAAAAATTGCAGTGAAAAAAAACTTAAGGGGTTACTTAAGAAATGTCTCAAATTGAATTTTATTAGACATTTGAAAAGCATGATAAGAGATTCCATGTCTCATGCTGAGCAGAGCAAACTAAAGACTTAATCTTAATTTCAAACTTGACTTTAGATTTTAAAATTTTGTTAACTTCAAAAACCAACAAAAAAGAATCTAATTACACAAATTTAGACTAAGTAACCTCAGTCTCAGATTTAGAGAGATCGTTAGGAAAGAAAATTTGATGGTCAAGGAAAAATAGTTGCATTACCTCGTCAGGATAGAATATGCAAGTTGTATCCACTCAACAGAGTAGAAGATGAACAAGGGTGTAGCTGCCGTTAGGCACTTTAGGCACGTGCCTACACATAACTTTTTCACAAATATTTTTTTCTAATTAAAATTAAAAAAATAATATACAATGTTATCTGTAGATGCACGTGAACTCGTCAAAACTCTGTATCTATTTATCAAATGAATTTGTAAACTAGTCTATCACCCTTAGTGAATGGAATATTGGATATTATTGAATATAGGTATAAGAAGATGTGGTAGGAGTGTCAATGAGTCAACTCTCAGTATAAGTCAAAATTTGTAAAAAGTGAACCATTATTGTCAAAGTATGGCCTTTCCACCATGAGCCTTGGCTCACACCGAACAGCAGTATGTCAATATATTCCACCTTATATAGAAACTAGAAACTAGAACTTTGGTTCAGATTATTTCACTTCTATCAACAAATACTTGAATGAACCTCAGCATGCTCAAAACCCTGACATTTTATTCTTAGATCTATACATGATTTTTTTTTATTAATTAGTTATTTTTCAACTAACCTTCCATGTTGTTTTCATCCGACTCTTGTCTAATTTGGGCTTCTGGATGTATAAATATGCAGTCACGTCTGTCAGATGCCTAGTGTAGAGAGAATTCCACGCTCTCTGCACGTCAAGAAACTTGCAACAACTCTTTGAGGAATTCGTATAGATGGTCTACTAGAATTTCTGTTCCTATCCTTTAACCCTCATTTTCCAATGCATGGCATTTCCAAATTTCAAGACCTTCATCCTGGACGACCCTGGCTCTAATTACAGGACTTAGGTACCTGTTGTATTTATTGTAAATTTTTTTTTTCTTTAGCATGTATGAATAATTTGTCACTGGAAGTTTAGCAATCAATCAATCAACTAGCTTTCAGTAACTTCGAGTACTCTCAGATCTACGTGTAATGGATATTATTATTCTAATCCCTAAGCAGGCAGAGATTTTACAGTACACGTTATATATCAGAAAATATAAATCTATTGAATTTTCTAAGATTGTATGAACAGAACAGAACTTCTGCATGAGGCATGATGCCATTGAATTTGAGTTGGTATGTGTTTGTGTGGCTGGGGGATGGTGAATATTTAAGTATCAAAAGATGAATGGTCGATGCGTAGTCCAAAGGATAGTATGATCATATAGCAATCTCAGTGTTAATGTGCCTAATTTTTTAATGTAGGATCGTCAATATTTACTATCAATTGATGTATGATATCAAATATCCTCAATCAGAGTGGAATAGATATGAAACTATTTGTTATAAACAGGGTTTCGGCTTAATAAAGGGCTACGCTGATTCACGCTGGACAATGCATATTCCAAATATTGTTTTTATATTTCCGATTGTGCAGCCGGTTCATTCATCAGTCAGACGGTTTATTGTAAAATTGTGTATATCATGCGATTTTTTTCATGTTTATTATATATCATGATAAAATTACCAGTAAATTTTATGTCTTTTTTGTACACAAAATTTGCAACTAAAATACTGAAAACCGTTTTCCGTCGAGGGGCTTTGCCCCACTGAACCCCCTACCAGGGCTCTGCCCTGGACCTGCTGGGCCCCCAGACCCCCTGCCGATTTGTGCCTACAGTTTATTTGATACCTAGCTACGCCCCTGATGAAGCTGATTTCTTATTTACATGCCGCTTTATACATTGTTATAATAATGTTAGAGAATAAAATCTTAATAAATGTTTTTCATGGATTTCATAACTTGAGGAAATTGCATTTAAACTTGATAATGTCAAATTATTACACGCTGTTTATTTCTAGTATCTTAATTCTGTATTTGAAATTAAAATGGCAAAAGTTCTGTGAGAAATATTCTACCTTGTCAATTTTATATATATATATATATATATATATATATATCTTATGTAAACAAGGAGTTATCCTTCCTTTCATACTGTATTAACAATCTCTCCTCCTTTTATTATTAAACAATTATTATATGGTATGTGTATAAAAATCATAATTATATTGTATTGTCTGTATTAATACATTGATTGATATCCTTGTTATGAGCCTTATGAATAGGCAAATAAAACTATTCTACTCTAAATTAAAATAAACTAAAATTAGACTAAGTTCTAGTTTCGTTTCGTTATAAATATGATGGTTTCCGGTTAATTGGTCACACGATATTTTGAATATTACCTAGTATGTTGAAGTCTCTTCACTGACTGGTACCTCTGATGAATTGTTTTTTTTTTCTTCATTTGGCTTAATTGGATGAGATAATGATCCTGTTTATTTTAATAAACAACTTTATTGTGATAGTCACAGGTAACTAAATTATATGTAATAATAATGCATAGCAAAGATTTTTTTCCTAAATTTGAAATGAAAGTTGTGATTTGAAATATATACTATGTCTCTGTTTGCAGTATAAAGTCTTGGTTTATCTTATTATTCTTTTGCAAATAAAGAGTTATGTTAAGTTATCTTCTATGACAGCTTTATATTAGCCTGAAATCAAATTATTGTTTTGTTTTATGCTTTCAGTTCATGCATATTTCATATTTTTATTTTTTATCAATTAGCCTATATACACTGAACAAAAAAAAGAGAAAAATTGTGTATCAATGATAAGTAGTTTTTGAGTAGTAAAATTTTCAAATTTTGTAACCAATCAAGTTAGTCTCCTTAGCCATGCATGTTAGCCAAAGTGTTGAAAAAATGGGTGAGGGGTACAAGAAATTATTGACCAGAAACATGTACATCCAACCATTCATTTTTTTTCTTTTCAAACGTCTAAGATATATATATATATTTTTTTTTTCAATCATATATAACACAGAAGTTGGAATAAAATGCTTTTTGATCTAAAAAACAAAAGAAAAAATCCAAAATTGACAAAATTGACAAGTTGAACATAGTAAGGGGACGACCATTTGATATTCTGGGGGGGGTGGGGGGGGGGGGGGGGGGGGGGGGGCCGGAGGATTTGTTTTGGATCGGTTATTTATTTTTGTAAACTAAGAGGACAGATTATCTATTTTCTGCACTATTGAAGCAAGATTTTTCATTTTCATTAAAGCAAGGGACTGATTATTTATTTTCACAACTATATTTATAATATTCGAAAACATACAATTTTTAAATTATTTGTTTATTATAAATAATTCATGAATAGTCAAGTCATAATGTACCATTTAATCAGAATTAATTATTATCCTCTGCAGAAATGAATCTTTTATATCCCCCAATGCATATACATGTATTGCATACATACACAGTATTAAAGTTTGGTTGAAACTAAGGCTCTTCTAAAAGTATTGGCAAACATGTTTCGCCGAGCGGAGCGAGGCAAAATTTTTTTTGAAGGGTTTTTGAACCGCTGAAGGCCCAAGAAGCTATAGAACAAATGATGCAAAATCATGCCTTCTGGGTGTTCCCCAGACCCTTTGTTAAACTGAAAATGCAAGTTCTGTTTTAATAATTTTATGACAATATTTTGGTCTCAAAGCAAAATCACGTTATAGATTCAGTGTAAGACTTAAGTTTCTAGGAACAACATCAAAAAACAAATATGCATGATATTAAAAGCAAAAATGTAATTCACATAGTTAAGTCTGTGGCTGCTGTGTTTTTTTAAACTCATGATCAAGTTAATAATAAAATTACTAAATTACAAAATGAATGCAACACTAACAGAATACAGAAGGGCAATCATTGAACAAAAGACAAATAAATAAGAAACATTGATCCCGAAAAATCAGGGGCTACGTCTGAGGGAGAACAGAACTTGCCTCTTGCAAGGCACTCACGGTGAACACAATTTGATATGGAGACAAGCGTTTGGTTTTGAAATTTCCTACATGAGGCATTTGTCTCAATGTAGTTACGGCCCTGATTTAATAAAAGTGAGGTAAGTGTTCCTGAGACAATTAACCTCAAGTTAAATGAAACAAATTTTCTGACATTTCAAGTATATTTAAATAATATTTATACTTTTATTTTTAAAAGATATGGGAAGTGTTTCCCGATTTTTTTTTTTGGAAAAAAGATGAATTTATGAAGAATCTGGTGCCATCTCATACTTTCGATTAGACCTGTTGAGTTATTTATTTTCAATACATTGCAAGTCAGGTAATTTATTTTCAAACTACCACAGAACAAACCATTTATTTTTGTGATTATCAAGGCTGAGTTATTTATTTTCAAAATCCTCCTGGCCCCCCCCCCCCCCCCCCCCAGAATATCAAATGGTCGTCCCCTAAATTATACATGAAAAAGCAACAAAATTTTATAAAACTTTCTTATATCAACACCTACCTTTAGTTATTTTTTTAAGTTAAATTTATTCAAATTGGTACACTACATCTTTAGTGAAAGTATGAAAAAAAGTTTCATTGTGAAACTGTATTTTTTTTTATGATAATAGCCCAAAAATGGGTAAAAATTGATGAAAAATTGGAAAATCATCAAAATTGGGTTCTTTGAAATGGCCGTAGCAAAAAAAAAAAAAAAAAAAATGCACCACCTTATGATTTTTTCTTCATCAATTATTTGTTAAAAGTCATATAAACCCAAAATTCAGATTAAGAAAAAAAGTTTTATTCTAGAAATGTTTGGCTCCTCAGAAGTGTACATCCTTAAAATATATAAGCAGATAACTGGTTTATCAGTTGTATCGTATAAAATATCTTGTTTTCCTGTACACTTCAGTTAATTTTTTTTAAAAGAAAACTAGTGTTCCGATATCAGCGTATCTATATTAAAATTATAAAATAAACGTCTGTGGCCAATCTGGTATTGTGGCCGAAATGATCTATAAAGCCCAGCAACCGGCCTAATTCCAAAAATTCAGTATATGGTGTTGCCATCCCTGCCATTAACAGGTGACGATGACGGCGTATGGACAATATTCAATCAGGCTGGTCTTTCTTGTCTAGTGTGAATACTTCGTTCTTACTCTTGCCATACGTGTTAGCTGTTTGTCATATCCGAAGATAGCGTTGGCCTAGGCATTAAACAAATGTTAGGTTGTTGATATTCGGACAGTAGGCCTTCAAACGTTACCCAACTTGAATATTCTTAAATCCGGATGACCTAAATAATGATGAAACGATAGTAAAAGTTGGTGGGCTATAAAATGTTTTTTTTTAATTGGTCATGTACTGCGACAACTTTGTCACAAAAATGCAATTGCGTTTTTTAGGGGTGGATTTTTGATAATTGGGGAAAGGGGGAAATGATATTTTTTGCAGATTGGCTATTCATATTCAACGTCGGTATGCATCCTAAATTTTTAATTAATTTTTTTCTTTTTTGTACAGTTAAACTAGATACGGACGTATAACGGACGTAGTACAATATGTTCGTAAAATATCCGTGAAACTGATCTTCAACATTCGTTTAATGGACGTCTCGTAAACATTCGTATTACTGGTGTATAATCACGGGGTTTATTTTTTCATTATTTAAACATTGCATAATATTTGCTTTATACATTTCTTCCATTTAAACATTAAGGAACTGATACGGCAAGTACGGGCCTGCAAATAAATTCTTTAAAGTCTAAATTAAAAAAAACGTTTAAACCTATGGTTGCGTCGGATTAAAACTGCAATTTTTATACGTGTGCATGTAAAACAACTTTCTTGGTAGAGGGGTGTTTTTAAACCCTGCTGACAGCTGCCATTGGCGATTGCCAAATAAATGGATCACTAGATGTGAAAAAATGGATCTTAATATTAATTTGATACCAAACAGAAAACAATAAACTTGCGGAAAGGTGGTACTTTCGTGGGTACCAATTTTCGTGCATTAACGAAAACTTACATATTCGTGGATATTCAAGATCGTGGTTTTCCCCAAGTCTGCATACAAGCCTATAGAAAATGTGTTTTTCGTTGAAAATTTAATTTCGTGGTTCATTTGTACCCACGAAATCCATGAAAATTGGAATCTCACGAATAAAAATGAATCCACAGTATACCACAAACATGAGATGCAAAGAAATTTGTACATAATATCCGGATTTCGACAATTAATGTCTCTTCAGTGCTGTTAGGGATCGAAACGTAGTTGGAAGGCCAAATAATTTACCTCAGTTTAGGATAGACTCTTGAATTTTGAGGAGTCGAAATAGGATGAACGGATCATATAAACCCGAAGGAAAATATAATACAAGCCTACCGAAACAATATAAACATTTCTCTAATTCTTAGCTGATTAATTTTTTTCCGGACCTGTTGGTTATTTTAATTTTATCAACGTGTGGTTCGTATGATCTCAGATGTTCATTGGTCAAATATTCTTGCTGTACCCCTATTTTTGACATTTGTACCTATTGTGTCTGTTTGTTTTGTTCACGCATCGTTGTCAATATAATGGAATTTGATGCGACTGTCATACAAGTGAGAGGTTTAGCTAGCTATAAAACCAGGTTCAATCCACCATTTTCTACATAAGAAAATGCCTGTACCAAGTCAGGAATATGACAGTTGTTATCCATTCGTTTGATGTGTTTGTTTTTTTGATTTTGCCATTTGATTGGGGACTTTCCTTTTTGAATTTACCTCGGAGTTCAGTATTTTTGTGATTTTACTTTTTTCGAATAAGATGATTGGTTTTTTTGTACAACCTCTTGTTTAAAAAAGATATTAAATAGAATTAAAGGAAAATAAGTGCTTAAACAAATTATGGGAAAAGAAGTGCTATTTCTCTACATTTATGATACTAACCCTTGACATGAAATTTCAACTTACAAGTAAAAAAGAAAACGTAATAATGTTGCTCTATGTTATGTCTTTATAGGTGCTGTCATCAGCTTTCATATCAATACAGATAGCATCATTGGAGAAACAGTTGTTCTACCTTGTGAAAACAAACAAGGCAACGAATTAGTGCAATGGACACGCCGAGACAAAAATACTGAAAAATCTTTTACAACTGTATACACTGATGGGTGGCGAGTTAATCCAGGTTTGCGGCTTCATGAACGACTGATGATCATTGGTTCGAGAGGTGGACAAGATTATGGATTACAAATATCCAATGTAACAATGTTGGATTCTGGATTGTACAGATGTGCAGTGGATACCATTACTAATCTGACTTATTATTTTGTTACTTTAGAAGTTAAAGGTAAGGGGTCTAACAATAACCTAAATTAAAACAAAATTTTATATAGAAGTCTTCTACAATATCTGTTTAACAAAAGGAGTATAGTATGATTTGAAGTTGATTTCATAAACTTGAATCAATCATAATGTAGTTTTTAATATTTGCTTTTCATAGTCCTGAAAAAAAGTGAATTTGGCGGCAATTGGGTCCATTGGACACACAGATGCTAATAATATTATACAATGCACACCTCCTTATAAATTGCTAGTTGACAATTATGCCTTTTGAGATATTTGAAGAAAGTCACCTAATCATCAACCGTAACCCAATACGTAAACATTTTTGTTAACAAATATACATGGATATTTACAGGTACGAATGTATTACACTTTTGTGATTATCATAAATTGCTTATTAAAATTGCGTAGCCAAATTATGCTTCAAAATGTATCTTAGTTCAAAACTGTTGGAAATAAAAACCGCATGAAATCATTAAACAAATTATTTATTTTCGGGCTTAACGCTTGTACTTTGAAACTGTTTGTTGAATTTCAATGATTGTTTCATTTGATTTCATGTTTTGAACCGGAAAAATACTCGGAAATAATCATAATAATTGCGAATAAATCATTATCACAACATTTCAATGTTTCCAATTTGCTGTACAATACATCCTTGTATGCGTGTTATTAGGAAATAACGTGATGAGAATATTTGATCTGTTTCCTTATACTAAAACACTATGCAATTTGACCTTATTCTTTTGAGTTCGTTTTGTTAGTCTCCTGACCTAGGTAAAAACAAAAGGGGGTAAGGATGAAATCTAAACGAATAGTTCAACCCTGCCAAATTTTCATTGGTCCGGCCGTCCTAAGTCAGATAGATACCTTCTAAGTAGTTGTATATTGTCATGATTGTGTTAATGATTTTATCGTTCTAATATTGTACATATAATGATGTTATTCATTATTTCGAAAGTAGATTCTTTAATATTTTACATATAATAATGATTTTCATTATTTTGAGTTTGGATTTTGAGCAGACTGTTAATTGTATGGACACTTGTCCGTAGGTGAATAGTGTATGTTGCCCTCTAGATGACTCTGACCTCCTTTAAATTTTATTGAAAGATTTTCATGGTCTGTCAACGCAAAAATTATGATGTTAATGATGATGTGAATGATGATATATATATATATATATATATCACTGTTTAACGTCCATTTGCAAATTAAATGCGTTTTCATGACGATAAATATTATATCAACATGAGCCACACTGAGCTGCCGTTTTAATGTGCTGGTTCACAAGCTTAATATTGCAGTTCGCAGGAAGACATGTCACCCTTTCTGGATACCTTGTTCTGACTCCATACAACCAGTCTTTGCTCTGACATTTAATTGCCGAGTGCTTGCTGGATTAACAGGAACAACTCAATTCAAATTTTTGATGTAATCCGACATGAGATCGAATCTACGACCTCCCACAATCGAGACGAATAATCTACTTTGAAACCAGCGTCGGTTTCATAGTGATTAAGTTGTTTGCCCACATATCATAGACGTGTCATACCGTAGTTGTCTAATTGTTTGTTTTGTTTCTGAATTAGTCAATGTGATTTTGGAGTTACTTTATTGGGTAAGACGTTTTTTTTTGGTCTATTATAACTTTCTGTACCAAGTTGTTATCCATTCGTTTGATTTGTTTGAGTTTTTGATTTTGCTATTTGATAAGGGACTTTCCTTTTTGAATTTTCCACGGAGTACAGTATTTTTGTGATTGTATTCATTTCGATATATGGATAATGACCCGCACTTGAATTCTCCAGTACTCAACTGTAACTTAATTGATTTCTAGCAAAAATTAAAGTAAAACATGTAAATATATTTGCTAGGGGTCTAATTTACTTCAATTTGGTAGTGGCTATTCATCACTGCAGGCTTTGCAGTGATCCTGAGTAAGATAACAGATTAACTAATTTACTAGCTTTTTCTTTGAGTTTTTGGTTTTTTGCATTGTGTTTATAAATAAATTCAAATCTCTTCTATTGTGTTAAAGAAATACAATTTTACCACTGTAATAAATATATTTCCTTTAATTGTGTTTAGCCAAAAAAAAAATAAAAGAATTTTAATGACAAAACTTTCAAAAAGGTTTGTAAAAAAACAACCATCTTCTTTGATGAAAAAACATTTTTTACGTTGTTTTTTTTTCAGATAAATATAAGAACCTGAGAACCCATTCTGCATATACCGTAATTAATACAACATTTCCATTTATGAAGAACACAGAAGTTACCAGATTCTTTTCTTGTAAATCATGTATTTATTTACCTCATAACATTTGCAATGCCAATTTCAAGTTAAAGAATATATGGTATAAACAAAAATAACATAATTATAATTCCATGACAAAACAAGAAAATAAACATAATACGAAAAATATAACTGTTTTACAACACAAGTTCCATTAACAACCGACACATCTCTCAGAGATAACATCCATGCTTTATGCAGATTTTTATTATTTTTATATTAGACTTCAAGAAATAGTATGAAACATACAAAAAAAGTTAATCGATTAAAATATTGGAAAAAACAAATATAAGACATTCCTACCATTGCAATAGAAAAGTAAAGTGACAGTAACAGTAAAAGCACATCCGCGAGGCCACATATCACCAGAATACATTGAAAACAAAATAAACTAGAAACTGGCATATCAATTGGAAAACAGGTATTGCTTGACATTTTTAAACCGTAGGATTGCTTGGATTTTATCTGCGTATTGTCCTTCCAAGGGCAAAAAGACAGACTACCACGCACAATAAAGGTATCCATAATGGTTATCTGTCATACAGAAAATGTATTTCTACATAACAAGTTGTTATTTATAGGAAGAACCAAGGATTTGTATACTATACAAATCCTTGGAAGAACTTACTTTAATTTTGCAGATTTTTTCCACTCACATATGTAGGAATAAAAAAGAAAATTAACACATCCATCTATATACAAATTGCATTGTTACATTGTAGCGATTCCCATTGTTTCCATCCTGTCGATTCCGCCAATTATTATTGTGGTTGTTCTAGCATTGATTGCAGCAATTATATTATTTCAAACAAGACGCAAGAACAAAGTATCATCTTCACCAGTGAATAATCAACCGGACGATATTGAAGAAGTCCAGCAAAATGATCATTATTATGATAAGGTCGATTACGAGGAGATTTCTTGCGAAGTTCAAAACAATTCTCTTAATAATGAACCATCGTACCATTACCCCGATTCAAAAAATGTCGAAACAATATTGGTGAATCAGGAAAACCCTTTGACAGGGCCATCACAGGAAATCTACAGTAAAAACCAAGCAAGCGTTTCCGAACAAACCGAGGACTATTCCTATGTGAGCAATCTTTATCAACCCCTCACTGAACATTGGGGACTTTACTCCCGTACATATGCACAATGTCCACCATTTCAAACTGGTAATGATTACCACAACATTGCTGACCCGAGTCAAATGGGGAATATGTATCAGCATCTTTTGGCGAAAAGAGAAGACGTTAAACATATCTATTGCTGATACAAAATTAGTATTTTAGATGTACATATAATATTGGGAGCAGCTTTTCGTTAACTTTCTTTTTACTTTTTCGATTTAAAACAATTGATATTTTTATTGTTATTTTATTATTGGTGCATTGTTATTCAATGTTGTAAATGTTTTGTTTTATAAATAAAAAAGTTCAGTTAGAATTTTTGTATTTTGTCAGCCTATAAATTAATAATTGCATACAATAGATGTCCAACTAACTATCAATTTCAAAGAGTAAACCAATAAGCACGCACAGAAAAAAATCATCAAATGAAATAAGGTGTTGCTTCTCAAACAAAACAAATATGAAGAAGAGATGTGACGACATATATTACGTCAACGAGATAGAACCCAGCAACTCTTACAGCTAGAGTTCATATTGTCTTTGTCTTTAGTGTAAATAATATTTTTTGTTAATTTTTAATTTAATGAATACTTTTTAAAAGTTTGAAAAGTGTTAGTTTCTGGGAATGCGTCGGTCTATAGTAGAGATTTTCAATAAATTGACATGACTCAACGTGATCAACCGATCTAATCATTGGAGTATGATGACAAGGATCTTAATTGTTCTGCATTTAAGTTTTTCCTGTTCTGCGGTTATGTTTTTCCTGTTTTAAATACTCATTGTTTACATATGTTTTATTTGATATTCAACAGTGACCTTTTTTCTTTACATATTGTTTATCAATAACATTAACAGTAACAATTTCACTATACCAGATTCACCTAATAAAATCATTCAAGATTTGTTTCAAAATTAACAGACTTAAACAAAAACCGGAGAAAACCGTCAACCCTCATGGTAGGTATTGAGTCCAGTGGTGGTAACAACATGTCTTAAATTATGTTTGGTATTGGAAAACCTATCGCAAATATCAGGTTTATAACTTTGTACACCAGAAGCGCGTTGCGTCTACATAAGACGCATTGGTGTCGCGCGAACATTGATATATGACATCAGTTAAAGTTATTAACATTACAATGATGAAAATATTATAGTTCAACGGGGAATTTAAAAAAAAAATTATTATTTATCATATCAGCTTCTTATTTTTTGTCACATTAGTTTGTAGATGCGTTATGATATCTACAAAAATATACATTTTCTGTTTACAGTTTAGAGTATTTTTGTTTGTATTTGGTTTTGCCATCCACCATAGGACAATGAATAACATAAATGCTTTGCATCGATTAGCGCGATTACCAATTTTTACACATGTTACAATACATGTAATAGTTTTGTAGTAATCGTGACGGAAATGACTGAAAACGGACACTGCAGGCCTTCACATTATCTTTCATATGACATGTTTTAGAATACTTTGTTCAGTAAAAACAGCTGTGTATGGATAAGCGTATACGTACGTTAGCCATACGTGTTAATTAGGGATATACACGCGTTATTTTCCAGACATTGGAAGTAATTGGTCCTTTTTGTATTCGTTTTACTTTGTTTTACTCTTGATTTTTTTTGTGAGAATTCAAATCTCTTATGGAGAAAATGCTTGAAGGTTAATTTGGTAAGAAATATATATTCTTAACAGCAATAACATTTAGCATCACCTAAACGTTTGCTCAAATGATATTTTGTTCACATTTTACCCATATTTTCGTATTAAAGGGTCATTGGATGTCAAATTCATGTTCACCGATTTGACTCAAATTTCCATATTTAATTAATAGCACACTAAAACGTATATCCCAATTATAAAAGTCTACAATGAACAATTAACAAGGAATGGGCTCGATGATATGTATCATCGTCTCGTTTATAATTCATTCTAGACGTCATCTTATTAACCTTCGAGTTGGCCTCCGAAGACTGTCAACGGTCATATAAGCGATTAAAACATAAATATAGATAGAAATAGATAGCGGACTCGTGCAAATGGATTTTTCAAGGTTTGTTTTATTTCATATCAAAGGTTTAAAATATATGTTTATCATCATTTTTAACTGAATACAAACGAGTTTTTAAGGATCGAATCAGCCAATAAAATTATTTACCTTTGTTTCACTTTCAATGTTGACATAATTTACCTTTTGATAACTGAACACGCATAATTCATGCGTTATACATCTCTAGGTGAGGGATTACATGTACAGTAAAGGTCACATGAATATGGATTCATTGAGGTTGAATTTATCACTTGCAAGTGAATAATTCACCAGCGAAGGTAGTTAGCGTCTTTTGACACAATTGAACCATACTGGACATGCTGGATGTCAAAACCGATTTAGTTTTTCACTTTTTCACTTTCAATAAATATATAACGAAACTAAAATGCATGTCTCGAAGCTAGTGCCCCTTTAAGCAATAAGAACTACGTTGGTGTTGGTTTTTATGCCCCATTTATGGACATTATGTTTTTTGGTCTGTGCGTCCGTTCGTTAGTTCGTCCGTCCGTTCGTTCGTCCGTTCGTTCCTCCGTCTGTCCCGCTTCAGGTTAAAGTTTTTGGTCGAGGTAGTTTTTGATGAAGTTGAAGTCCAATCAACTTGAAACTTAGTACACATGTTCCCTATGATATGATCTTTCTAATTTTAATGCCAAATGAGAGTTTTTACGCCATTTTCATGGTTCACTGAACATAGAAAACGATAGTGCGGATGGGGCATCCGTGTACTAGGGACACATTCTTGTTTTACAATATCATATGATCATCGGCTATAGTTTGTTTCTAAATCTAGACCGTTTAATGATGGTCAAGTCATACCCGTTGACCCTACGGTTTCAAAGAAGATAATGTATAAAAGATACACCTGGTTTTTAGTCTAATATGGCAGGTCACATTCGAGATAAATAAAGGCAACAGTAGTATACCGCTGTTCGAAAGTCATAAATCGATTGAGAGAAAAACAAATCCGGGTTACAAACTTAAACCGAGGGAAACACATAAACTATAAGAGGAAAACAACGAAAAAAGAGAAACACTAAAGTGCAACAAAAAACAAACGACAATGTAACACACACAGAAACGAACTATAAGATAACAGCTGCCATTTTCCTGACCTGGTACAGAAAATTTTAAGAAAAAATGGTGGGTTGTACCTGGTTTTGTGGCGTGCTTTTATGGCAATGCTAAATATAACATTAAAAGGACAACATTACATGACAGGACTACAGTACAAATAAATGCAATAGTTATCAAAGGTACCAGGCTTATAATTTAATACACCAGACGCGCGTTTCATCTACATAAGACTCATTAGAGACGCTATGATCAAAATAGTCAGAAAGCCAAACAAGAATAAAGCTAAATAGAATTGATGACCCAAAATTCCAAAAAGTTGTTCCAAATACGGCTAAGTTTATCTATGCCTGGAATAAGAAAATCCTTAGTATTTAGAATAATAAATACTTTTGCAAACAGTAAATTTATAAAAAAAAAAATGACCATATAATTGATATTCATGTCAACACCGAAGTGCTGACTAACCACAGAATTAAAACGAACACGTAAAACAACCTAGGGCAGCACATAAAACAGCACAGCAGAACCACGCATTGTCTATCACACGACTGGATTGACGCTACCAAATGACGTCACAGGTAAATTTCTAAACTTTGATATAGAAAATTAAGTTCAGGATAAGGTGTGAAATTATCGTATTTGATGTATCTTATAACAATAACAAGAATAAGAATATAGAAATGTGTTAGTAATTAGATAATTTATTGTATTATCTAGCTATGTCGGTATTTCGTCTGAATCAAACTGTAAAACAAATAAATCGTGTACGTTTAGTTGCTTTAAACTAAAATCTTACAAATGATCTGGGTGATAAATTATCTATACTTTTACATACGAATAGAAAGAATAAAAAAATTAGAATTACAATTACACACGATAAGACATTTAATAATATCCGATCGGAATTACAAATACAACATCATAACCATGTTAACAAATACCGTGACACGTCTTATAGCAATGCGAATTCACACTCAGCAAAACAGTCATATTCGTGAATAGGTCATGTTTGGTAAATAAAAGACCAGACGACGTAAAAGGTAAACCATAATCTAAGACGTGGTATAACAATGTCCTTAGTTAGTTAAGACAAAGACACATCGTATGGATCAACCAATTCGTGATGGTGTCCATAAAATTTACGGAGTGACATTTTTAATCTTTCCTCCTCATAACTTTGTTGGAGCAGTTTTTGCGTAAGGAATAAACTCCTGTATATGAAATCCGTATAATGTGAACATGCTCGAGCATAACGTATCAACTGAGATATGTAAAAACATACAATGGGGTAGAGGGTTACTGCTGAGAAATGGAAAATTGATAATTGGGAAGTTGAAATAGTCCCGTTTGTCATAGATTTTAGTGTGAAGTCGTCCATCTGTGTCAATGTTGAGGAAAAGATAAAGGTATGAAGCAGTCCTTCTAGTATCAGTAGTATCCTTAATTTCAAGTTCACTGGGATATATCAGGTGCAAGTATTGGCTGAAATATGGGTTATTCAGTGATAGGAAATCATCAATATATATGAAAGTAACATTAAAGAATTTCGCAAGGTGCTTTTTCTTTTTGTCTTTTAGAAGGTTCTGAATGAATTCTGCTTCATACGAATACAAAAAAAAAAAAAATCGGCCAGTAGGGATGCATAATTAGTTCCTATTAGAATACCGACTGTCTGTTGAAATATCAACCTCCAACTCAAAAATTATATGCCGATCAAACAGTCAAGCATTTTGATAATATCATCTTCAGTATATTTTCTGGTAGTTTCGTTGTGGTTCTTCACAAAATAAGAATTACGATCACCCAAAGCAAGAAATTTGTATCTACGATTCCCATTTTTATAGAAAAAGCTCTGTTAAATGAGATGGTGAGGTCGATCTTTCAATTGAGCATGGGGAATAGTAGTGTTAAGCATAGAAAATCAAAAGTCTCAATCATGTCAATGTTGCTGCAAAATTGCAGAGATTGTGATCTAAGATTATGCAGTAGATCTTTAGAATTTTTGAAAATCCACATCTGGTTAACACCACTGGTAGAATATATCACATCACAATATTTTTGAAGGCCATCTTTTACTGTAGATAGAATACTAGTCAGTACTTTAGAAAGATGTTGAGTAGAACATTTTGATGATCCAGCTACGGTATGTATCGTTCTTTATATGGAGTTTTGTGACGTTTTGGTATCC